AAAAACATTCTAATTATAATAATTGAAATAAATACTACCAAACTTGTTTTCTTATAATCCATTCAAAATCCACAACAATCTGTTAATTTGTAGAAAGTATGCTATTGCCTAAATTTATGTAATAAAAGTTTGTTTATTGGTTTTTTAAAATAATTTTTCCGTTTTTTCTTTTGAACTTCAGTGAATAGAACATCAAGACCATTTGCTGGCACTTTACCTTGCTTATTTTCTACACTCTCTGACAAATACTCTGAAAAACAGTTAAAACAATGTGATATTAAAAGTGAACAACATTTTAGACAAGCATCAGGAGATAAAGTAAAGGGTTGTGTAAAACTATTTGCTAAGTATTTTACTGAATTATTTTTATTGCTTGATTCTTTAAATGATTATTCAATCTGTGAAAGACATTACAATCAAATTGTTAATAATGATTCATTACTTGAGAAATCAAAAGCTGAAGATAACTCTAGTTTTTTTGAAGAAGGTCAACGAAAAAAATTTAAGATGACTAATAATAATCCAATTCAACAAGAAATCTTGGAGAAACAAGATCAGGATAACACTAATATTTTATTAGAATCAGAAAAAATAAAAAAATTAATCGATTCTGAGTTCCAACAAGTAGAATATATTAACAACATAAATGAATATAAGAAAAAAATCAATGAACTTGAATCTCAAAATAAAGAATTATTATTCAAAAATAAAGCATTATTATCTGAAAATAAAACATTATTATCTGAAAATAAAGAATTATTATTCAAAAATAAAGCATTATTATCTGAAAATAAAGAATTATTATTCAAAAATAAAGCATTATTATCTGAAAATAAAGAATTATTATCTAAAAATAAAGCATTATTATCTCAAAATAAAGCATTATTATTCGAAAATAAAGAATTATTATCTAAAAATAAAGAATTAAAAGATGAGAGATTTGATGATCAAAAAATAAGGGTTGAATATGTAATTGAAATTGCTAAAAAAGAGCGTAAAAATTTTTACAATGATATCATTGATTTAATTAATGACAAGAATAGATTTAGTTTAGATAACCTGTTAGAGTATTCTACTTCTCAATGGCTTTTTAAACGAAATCCAGTTATTGTAAAATTTTTAGAAACTCTTTCACTTAATGAGAATGAAAGTCAGCTTGAGGGTGAAAAACTATTTAAATGTGCAGTGGCTGTTGATACAATATATGGGGCAAGGCATTTAAAATATGTATCTGCTATCAATTTGGCAGCATCAGCAATTAAATATTCTTTAGCCAAATCAAAAACAATTATTGACATTGATAATCACTTTTTAAGTTCTGGTGGTTTCAACAAATTTATTCAGTGGCAAGAAAATTTAGCTCACGAAGCTACACCACTTTCAAATGGTTTATTATTTTTGGCATTTGACAATGAACAAAAAGGACAAAAAAACTACTTAGACCGTGGAAATAATACAGTAATTTTCCATACTGTTACAAGTTTTATTTCATTTAATTTTGATCCCACTAATAATATACAGGTTATTGAGGACCCTTGGTTACATCAAAAATTAAATTCATTACAGATTCAAGAACTTTTTGAAATCACACCAGATATGCAAGCATTGCTTGATAAAGAACTTCAAGATTATCTATCTGTTATCTTAACTGATGCATGTGAAGAAAAAAATAGTGAACTAAATCTTATTGATAATCTTATTTTAAATAATTCTACTATAGGAAAACAAAAAAGGTGTATTAAATGTGGTGTAAAGGAAATTGAAAATTTGAAGTGTAAATGTCCTCAATGCAATCAAAAACTTTCTACACTCACTGAAACCCAACAAGAAATGCAAAGAGACAATCAATCAATCTTGGAGACAAATATTACCAAACCTTTAAAATTCAAACACTATCAAAATAACACCAATTCCTTTAATAATCCAATAAATCCAATCAGCATAACTCAAAAAGCATTACCTCAGGATGGTGTCAAGGTGCCTGATATTTCTGTTCCAGACCCTTTACCATTAAATCCCAATTCAATTGATAATGTTTGTAAAGTTTTAGATCACATCCAAGAAATTAGTGGTATCAACAAAGGTGAAAGAAAAATGGATTGCAGTGGCTTGTGATGGTATTCCATTCAATTATGCATAAAAAATTAAGAATGATTATCCAAGAATTCTCTTTATACCTGGACCACTTCATGAAGAAATGAATATGTTAAAATCTTTTGTGGAATTAAATTGGTAAATTTCATAACTATTGT